ATTGTGTAAATCTGGTTTTCTCATGGAATACCTTGTTTTCTCCATCTAGAGTGACTGAAAGTTTTGCTGGATACAGTAGTCTGGGCTGGCATCCATGCTCCCTTAGCATTTGTAGAACATCTATCCAGGATCTTCTGGCTTTCAAAGTTTCCATTGAGAAGTGGAGTGTAATTTGGATAGGTCTGCCTTTATATGTTACTTGGCCTTTTTCTTTTGCTGCTCTTAATATTTTTCTTTATCCTGTAAGTTTGGTGTTTTGATTATTATGTGGTGAGGGGACTTCTTTTTGTGCTCCACTCTATTTGGTGTTCTGTAAGCTTTTTGTACATTCATAGGCATAACCTTCTTCAGGTTGGGGAAGTTTTCTTCTATGATTTTGTTGAATATGTTTTCTGTACCTTTGAGCTGAATTTCTTTACCTTCTTCTATGCCTATTATTCTTAGGTTTGGTCTTTTCATGGTGTCCCATATTTCCAGGATATTTTGTCTTAGGGATTTTTTGGACTTGAGATTTTCTTTGGTTGAAGACTGTATATCCTCTAAGGAGTCTTCAACACCTGAGATTCTCCCTTCCATCTCTTATATTCTTTTTTTTTTCAAGACAGGGTTTCTCTGTATAGCTTTGGAGCCTATCCTGGCACTTGCTCTGGAGACCAGGCTGGCCTTGAACTCACAGAGATCTGCCTGCCTCTGTCTCCTGAGTTCTGGGATTAAAGGCATTTGGCATCAACGCCCAGCCCATCTCTTGTATTCTATTGGTTATGCTTACATCAGAGGTTCCTGATTGTTTACCCAGCTTTTCTATTTCCAGTATCCCCTCATTCTGTGTTTTCCTTATTGTTTCTAATTCTGCTTTCAAACCATGAACTGTTTGAATTATTTCCTTCACTTGTTTGTTTTTTTCTTGGCTTTCTTTAGATTCTTTAAGAGATTTGTTTATATCTTGAATTTTTTGGTTTGTCTTTTCCTCCATTTCATGTAGTTTTTTGCTTGTTTTTTCTTCTATTTCTTTAAGGGATTTTCTTGTTTCCTCTTTAATGGTCTCTGTCATCTTCATAAGATAATTTTTAAGGTCTATCTCTTCTTCATCCTCTGCGTTTGGCTTTTCAGATCTTGCTGGTGTGGAGTCCCTAGATTCTAGTGGTGTCATATTGGTCTTTCTGTTGTTGAGTGTGTTCTTATTCTGTTGTCTTCCAATCCCTTCTTCCAGTGGGTGCAGGCGGGGTCTCTCCCTCTCTCAGGTGGCAGGCAGAGGGCAGAGAGCAATGGGGGAACCAAGAGTGAGGTGTGTCCCGACTCAAGGTGGGCCTTCTGGTCTGGGCAGATCCACTCTTGTCCAGGGGGAAGCTCAAGAGGAAGTGATCATGGAGTCATGGAGGAGGTTGGGGGCAGAGCATCACCCAGACTCACCTCAGGCTCAGGCAGCAGCCTCTAGCTTCCTAGTGAAAAATTATCTGTCTATAGATATATGGATTTATATCAAGTTCTTTAATTTAATTCCATTGATCAATTTTTCTGTTTTTATGGCAATACCATGCTTTTTGAATTACTATTTCTTTGTAGTATAAACTAAAATTGGAAATGATGAGACCTCCAACCAAGTTTTTTTGGTTATTTAGAATTAAATGAAAATGACATCCAATTAACCTGAATTGTAGGCCTTCAAAACTCAATTGAATTAATGATTATATAAAATAAAAAAACTTTATTACTTATACATAGATACATTCAAGCATTTAAATATATGTGTATACATATTCTATTTATCTTGTAATACTGGGATCAAATTTAGATTGTGTTCATGCTGGGAAAGCTCTATACATTGAATGACATCTTATCTCCTTGAATGTATTTTAATCATATACAGTAAATGTCTGATTTTGTTTTCAAATCTCTGAATTTTAAGCAATAGCTTATATTCTTTATTCATATTAGTTTATATCTGTCTAAAGTTCATTAAATATGGTCTTAGTCATGTTTTCTCTTGTGATTTATTTTGTTTTTTTTTTTAAAATTAAATGTTTTCCTCAAAAGTTATAAATTTACCCCAAACCTGCCATATTGAAAAATAGGAACATCAAAGTTTTTACAGTCAGGAAAGCTCTAAACTTAAGAATGCATTACACCTTTGATTCAAACATTTTTAATGAGGAGCTGGCTCTCTTCTCCCTTCTTACATGTTAGGAACTATGCCATATGCTGATGCAGGGTCCATATTCTAAACATGTATAGAATTCTTTGATGAAATTCAACATTAATTTTAAGACCATGTTTGGGAAACTCACAGAAACATCTTACCTGAGCAAGTGGGAGCTCATGAACCCCAGCCAGACAGCTAAGGTTCCATCATATGACCAAAACCAGTCCCCCTGACCATGGGTGTCAATTAGGAGGCCTGGGCAGTCTATGTGGCCTCTGGTAGTGGCACCTGTATTAGTTCCTAATGCACGAATGGACTTGCAGTGTCCATTCCCACATGGAGGGAGATTCTTTCAGCTGAGATACAGGGTCAAATCCCTGACACGAATGATTTAACAGAGTTTGATGATTCCCCCATTGGAGGACTCACTCTCCCTGAGGAGTGAATGGTGGTGGGACTGGGATAGATATGTAAAATAAGATTGTTTCTAATTTAAATGAGAAATATTTTAAAAATTTAAATATTATTATCACTAAAAGACAGAAATATATGTACAATTTGTCAATGAACAATTACAGATTCTGGATCATTCTTTCAACTCTCTCTTTTTAGTATTATGACACTGCATCTCTGGAAATGTTTGTTTTATAGCCTTTACATAGGAAAATAAGTCAATTGAAGATTTTTTTTAAAAGAGAGATCTTAAACCATCATGTTCAGTGAAAATAAGCAAATGAAGGATTCTAGAGTACAAATATATAGTCTGAAAGTCAATATAATTGATTTATTTTACTAAGCTATTTTTGTTTCAGTTATTTATGGTCTTTATAGTTAATTAATTGCCTTTTTATATTGTTTTAGTTTTCACCTTGAAGATTATAAGCACTTTCATCAACATCATAAACTAATATATTCAAGTGTGTATTTCATTCTAGACATTCCATGTAAAGAATTTTAATTAAGTCCAACTCTAAGTTGGCAAAAAGTTTAAATACACTGGCATGAATACAATGAAAGGATAATGACAGCACTTCTCTATGACCCTTTCTGTACCAGTAATGCTGAACTATAAATGCTCCTAAATATTATTTCCTTCATTTAGTTGAACAAGAATGTAGTCCCTCCACACTGGTATTAATTAGCCATAAAGGACGTATTACTAAGTCTAACATAGACACTGGGATGGATATTGACCACACTTTCTAAGTCATTTTCTATTTTTAGACCCATATATTTATACAGAGGGAAGCTCATCTGTGGTCTGGGACCAAGCAAATTGATCTCCATTGACTTCTGGCTTGTTTGTGAGTCTGACATAATGTTCTGAAACACGAAAACTTTTAGATCACATTTTTAATTATTGATTGAAGTAAGTGTTCCATTGTACATCTTTATGTTAAGTTATTTTAACTGCAAGAACCAGGCAAAAAGTCATTTTAGTAAAGAGAGCACCAGAAACTAGACCTTTTACTCCCTAAATAAAAGTCTTTGCTTTTCTAATATAGCCTTAGTATGTATAACTTTTAAAATTCTAATTTAAGTCTCCACTCATTGGAAACCTGTTCCATAATGAACCCATTATCTCTACCTACACATGACCTTTTTTTCCATGTGTAATTCATATATTCCAAGAAAGCTCAGGTAAATGGTATTTTGGGAAAATACACAACAGAAAATCTTGTAAGGAATGGAGTAAACATTTAGTGTTGATTTTCCTGTCTTTTCCTTCCTGAAGATGCTTATGAGCAGAAATTTTTCCTCACTTATACTAGTCATTGTGGTCTGAAATAAATTTAAGTGTTAAGGAGGACCAGGCTTTTATTTGTTCCCACATTATTATTTTTTCTGTATTACCATGTATTAATTGTACATATTAATGGATTCAGTATGATGTTTCCACATATATACGATAGTATATACTAACCAGATCCAAACCCTCTTTTCTCACACACACACACACACACACACACACACACACACGCACGCACACGCACACGCACACGCACACACTCACACACCTGAATATGGGGGGAGAAAATATTTATAAATATTTTTCTTTCTTTTCACTCTGGTCTTTCACAGTACTCAGACAGCAAGAATGGGCAAAGGCACTCCTGGCTGACCTGGATAGAGATAATGGTGTTGTGATTCTTGCAGAAGCTCACTGGACACTGCTCCATAGGAAGCTTCAGTGACCTTGTCAACAATATATGAATCCTGAACTTGACTTATGTTTTGGGTGAAGTGGATTCAGGATGATAGTATGCAATGGATGTTATGATTATAATAAAACCCTGGATGTTGTCCAATCCTATCTGAAATATATGGCACCTATCCTTTCTCCATACAATATTTTTCCTCCCCTAGACAGTAGCATCTCATCTGTAACATAGGAAGTGGGACTAGAATAATGTCTTAGGTACCTTAGCTCTCTAATGCCAGATTCTAGCATTCTTGGTGTAGATCCTTGGGAATTAATTACTACAGTGCTTTATTTACTCCAATGATGTAGTTTTATAAGAAATAATTACTACAGTGCTTTACTGTTTGGAGATGGTGGGGGAGGGATATGTAAAGCAAAAGCTTTGGAAGAGCAAGCCTGATGGTGGTCATCATGTTTATAAACATTTTAATTGTGCTGATATTCAGAATATCTTGTGCAAAAAGAATATTTAGACAATAGTAGCTAATTGACTGACCAAGGCAAGGTTGCCATATTGTTAAACATCTGCAGAGTTATTTGAAAGAAGACAGACTTTGTATACAGACAGAATTAACACATGCCACCACTGACATGAGCAGTGGCAACATGAAGCTGATATCTTTCAGGTACATTGACACTTCCTTTGTTTTCTTCCAGGGATTTCTAGGAAACACAAATGCAGACAGTGTGGTGCAATACAGACTCCAGCCTTCCATCCATACCAGGTTCTTGCGCTTTCTCCCTTTAGCCTGGAATCCCAAGGGCAGGATTGGGATGCGGATAGAAATATATGGGTGTTCTTATAGTAAGTGATATTTATTCCTCGTATGAAATTAGCATCTGCATGAAATGCTGTAAAATGTGTCAGTTAAAAATTACTTACTTTAGCCTTTTTTAATAGTTGTATGATTACAACTAGGTTTTATGAGAAGAGTTCTATTATTGACTACTTATGACATCATAGTTTTTACTTATTTTTTTATAGTTGAATTTAGAGAGGCTGAGGAGACAGCTCAATGGGCAGTGTTTGAAATACAAGAATGGGGGCTTCAGTTCAGAGTCAAAGTATCATATAAAAAGCCAGGTGTGAAACAACCCAATTAAAAAGTGGGGTTAGGAACTAAATATACAATTCTCAATAGAGGAATCTAAAATGGCTGAAAGACACATAAGAAAGTGTTCAACATCCTTAGCCATCAGGGAAATGCAAATCAAAATAACTCTGAGATACATCTTACTCT